CACGCCGAGGTGAGCGAACTCGTGATATCCTGCAGTCCGGTTTTGAGTATGGATTTAATTTTCAACCGGGCAATATTTGCATGTTGTATAATGTTTTGTATCGGAAGCGCGTAGGTTTTCCGCTGAATACCAAAAATCAAGGCTGAATAAGATAATCTGTTTTGAATTCTGAGATGACCCTACCATATTGGCGCCTCGACAAAATAGTAATAATAATATTATTAGCTATGCAAAAACTCAGATCCCATCGCACGCGTTGTAATTGGTCGTATAATTACACAACAGACTAGAAAAAAAAAACAACAACTATTATTTATAATACGTCCGGAGGCGTCCGCATAAATGTTCTAATAATTGTTTTATTGTAAAGGTGCCTATGTCATCACAAAGTAACCTCGACATTTCGGAAAGCGTTATTTCGTCAAAAAGTTCATTAAAATAAAAAAAACCATCGAGGGTGTGTAGTTGCGATTTGTATCTTTTTAATCAGTTTATGTAAACGTCCTCGAGTATGTATAAATAAACATGTATGTGTGTATTTAAATATCATACACAAACAATCATATAAAAACATAAACATAATTATATTAAATTATATTATTACAATCGTTTTATCAAACGCGTTAATATTATAATATAGTATAATATGCTGCAGTAGGTATTTTATTATTATTATGTAAATACTCGAGAATATTGGTAAAAAAAAAATAGAAAAAATATTCTATACAGTATTATGATGAATTCGCTGTGTTTGGAAACAACGAACACCTGTAAGACAGTCATAGGTACCTACTACATATACAACATACCAGTACCTCCTATTATGTTATGTGCTAACCGCTACTGAGACAGAGCTAATATATAATATAATAATAATAATAATATATATATAATACCTACCTACTTGAGTTCTCAATAATGCAAAAGTATGAAACGTTTTTATTCGCATCGGACACACAACATATAATTTGGTCGGGTCCAATTAATAAAAAATTATATTGCATGTGAAAATTATTACATGTTTACGTCTCGATGACCCGTTGAAGCGGATCGAGTTAAAACTCCTGGTAGGTCGCAAGTATAATAATATGTATATAGGTAACATACCAGCTATACCAATAAATATAATACTTATAATAGATAGTATCTTATATGTTAGGGTAGGCATGTTCAGTCTGAGCTAAGACTTATATTTTATAGTAGTTTTATACGATACCCGCACAGACGACGTCAAAAGTTAGTGATAATTTTTAATCAAGCTAAGTTCCCCATCTCTTGATTACGGGTTCGGGTGGCAATGGAATTCCCGGAGCAAGAGTTTAAAACATTTGTGTACGATATGGTGATTTTTTAAAAATATTTTTCAACTTATAAGTTTATTGACATCTTGAAAATTTGATCTTATTTCTTTCGCAACACTATATGAATTGCATGCGCCACACAGGTAACATGCACCATTTTTGCATACTGAGTGCAAATGGCTCTTCCTGCTTTCACCATATATGGGGCAGCATCAGATACAAGAATGAGGACATTATCGTGTTTTATTCCTTCAGGTCATAATGTAAACATGGCTTTATCGAACGCTTTCGCAAAGGTTGAATGATTTGTTTTTCCAAGACATCAGAATATAACAAAAATATTTTTCCTTTCATCTATACACCAACTCAAATTTTTTTATCGCCTATATATAGTGTCTAATATTTCGTACTGTATTTAAATAACATTTTTCAACATAATTTTTACGCAATAGACACTAGCAAGTAGACTCGTCTGGGATTTTATATTTTTTTCTAAAAAATGTCTAAAATTTGTGTTATTTAATTTAGCAAGTTTAAATTAGCTGCTATTAATGTTTCACAAAGCTCTAAATTAAATGACGATTGATCACTATTATTTGTTAAATTAGATAAAAGTACTTTATTATTTTGTTTCACTTCATATAGTTTTCGTTGAATTCCACGAGCTTATCTCGACTGATGTGTTGTTGAATTGTAAATTTCTTTTCGGAGGCAACTGCAACATTACAAACTTTACAAAAAAGCACCATACCGTCCGTAGAAAACATATCGGCACCAAACTCGCTCATAAAACTGCGTTAACGGCTTCCTACTGTTGACTTAATTTTTGGCATTTTGTACAGTTAAGATCGGTAGAACCACATAGGTACGTGTCGAATTCACTACTAAAGCTACTATTGTATACCTAAATATAGTTATGGGTTCGTTCGATGTTTAATTTTATCGGATGAATCGATAATTAATTATGTTACTTTTTCAATATCAATGGACTAGAGCAGGTAATTGCCTATAGGTACTAACTGGGATTACCTTTACAACACATATTAAAAAAGCCTAAAATAAACAACAATTAGTTTAAATACACAAAATGAAGGTAATATTCGTAATATTACGTAAAAATGACCTTAAAAATGCAAATAAAAATTACACATTTTAAATTGTTATATTACGAAAGAAATTTAGTTTTTGGTTAGAATTGTATAACACTTGGAGAGAAAAAAAATGCAAAAGTCACCAAAATCCTAGCTCTAATTATTAGTATATGGGTATCCATTTTTTAAATTTTTTTATTAAAATATAATTTCATCAAAACTTACGACGAAAATTCATCAAAACTAATAAATGAAATCCGTCAACGAAATCCATAATATGCAGAAATAATTATGTATACGTATACCAACCACTCGGCAAAAGTTTGATATCACAGATACAACGAGAACTGCAAACAAAGCGCTCAAACGAAAAGCTGAATTTAAGTTTGGAATGGAATTTCGATGTTGGCCGCGGTGGGTGCAGGGGACGGTGGGTATATATGGTCGCAGCAAATCTATGATTCACCCCATCGAGGCAATCGGCGAAAATAAACTGCAGCAGACACGGAATGCGTATTTCGTCTAGTCGGAGACGGTTAAGGGGAGTGCGGGGACTTATTTGTGGGGGGGGGGAGGGAGGTTATATATATATATTTCGGTTGAAGGGTCGCGACGTATTTTCAACTCATTTTCGCTAATGTTTTATAACCATTTATAGCTGCGTGGAGGCCTATGCGCAGTATAATAATAGGCCGCTTTAGACGTACGCGTTTTCTCGCGAGATTGGAACGCGGCGTTCCATTCGTACACGAAAGAGTGTGCGTATAAATATAAAATTGGCATTAAGGACGAAAGCCTGCAGGATTTGAACATGTTTCTGCCCGCGCGATAGTTGTCTTTACACGGAAACGTTTATCGTTCACGATTTGCGCGTATACTGAACTGATGCGTAGCCCGCGTAAGGTGTACCAGAAACGATTTTTAACAGAAACAACATTTAAATAGTAAAAAGTTGAATTTGTATTATAGTTAAAAGTTTTGTACGATTACAAGTAATTATTAAGTATATTAGGTTGTAAAAAGTTACTGGTTTGGTGCGTTTACGATATATAGGCCTATTTTTTATTAATTACAATTTTTTTATATTTTTCTACTCTGACAAAATGAGTGACTCAAGATATTTATCAAAGGAATTTATTTCCGAATTTTTAGAAAAATATCGTGAGTTCCCATGCTTATGGAAAATTAAATCAAAAGATTACACAAATATAAATTTAAAAAATAGAGCCTACGACGAGTTACTAAAAGTGTGTAAAAGTATTAACCAAGAAGCCAATCGGGATTTTGTTGTTAAAAAAATCCAAAGCTTTAGAGGATCTTTTCGAAAAGAATTGAAAAAAGTTGAGGATTCAAAAAGAAACGGAAGATCTGCAGATGATGTCCATATTCCAACCTTGTGGTATTACCATTTGTTGGAATTCACATTTCACGGTTGATCAAGAACTTCCCACTGATAGTATTAGTAATTTTAATAATATCGAAGCAGAAGATTTAGATATTACAGGTGGACGGTGGTGATATTACAGATGAGGTAAGACAAAAATATGATTTACATTTAATTATTTTATAATATTATAATTGCATTAATATATTATACTAGCAACTTTCGCTTATTAATTTTAATTAAGTTCATTTACCTATTGATCAAATATTTTTCCTGGGTGAAAATTCTGAACATTTTAGTTTATGTAATCATATAAACACTGGAATTTTTTTTATAAGTGTTAGATTCATAGCGCAACGATGAATGTTTGATTTTATAATGACATCTATGTGTTTTTGTTTAGTTTTATTTTTAATTTTTACAAATTTTTATTTGTTTCTATGAACACGATATATATCTATATGTATGTACACAATAAATATAGTCGAAATAATGCTTCAATTTTCAACTTCCGTTCGATGGGAAATTAAATGTAGTTGGTGCATTGGGGAGATAAAAAAAAAATTAAGTAGAAACGGAAATTTTTACGCAAAATCGGTTTTTGGTGTAACTTTTTGGTGTAACTCTAAAACAAATGATCATAGATACGCGCAATTTTCACTGAATATTTATATATCATATATTAGAATTTGCTATACACAAAAAATATTGACTTGTTTTGAGCTGTTTACTATGAGTTGAAACTTTTCAGTTTCCAATGTTTTTTTTTTTTTTTCTCAGCACAATGGCAGTTGAAAAATATTTAAAATATATAGTCACAATTTGTTTTATATGCATTCAAAGTTCAAATTGTTAAAAATACGTAAAAATCACGAAAATGTGCAAATTATTTACAGTTAGAAATTCCTAAAAAATTGTATATATAAATCTATAATTTGAATTATGTTTCTGATATTTTGTATATTATATATGTATATTAAGTATGTCATTTGTTTAACAGTATAAGTACAAATAATTAAAATATATAGGTATTACATGATTATTATTAATATTATTAGGTACACTTTTCATATAAAAAAAAGAAGGATAATATAGGTATCTATACTTAAAACATACCTATATACATTATTTTATTATAATACAGTTTTATGGTATAAATAATAAATATAAGTAGGTTGTGTAAATTGTATTAAGCTCTTCCAGCTTTTATCATATTTCCTTGAAATTCAACTGATCCTTCATTATTATAAAAGTGCATATATTTATCTCTGTTTATTTTGGCATCATCGGAAATATTTTTGGTACGTGTATTTTGTAGTCCAGGAAGTTCATTATTACCATTTTCTCTCCAATCTCCATTATTTAATATGTTGTTGCCATCTAGTCTATCAAACATTTTTGTGGTGACGTAAGAACTTCCTCGTTTTCTTAAGAAGTTATGAAGTGTGCATATCGCCAACACGGCATATGATGCCTTTTCTGGGCTTAAGTGAATAGCTCCTTGTAATAACCTAAATCTTGATGCGATAAGTCCAAAGGTGTTTTCAACACAATTCCTTGCCCTAGACAGTCTATATGATTAAATATTCTTTTTTCTTCTGTCAATTCACGTTGCGCATACGGTTTTAAAATATTATTATGCAGAGCAAAAGCTTCATCACCAAGGAAAACAAAATTTAAATTATTTACGGTTTCATCATTATCTGGAAGTTGTAATTTTCCCTTTTTTAAGTCCTCGTAAAACTTAGTGAATTCTATTACACCTCCATCGGATAATCTTCCATTTTTTCCTACATCGACGTGTATGAATTCATAATTGCTATTTACAATCGCCATCAAAACAATACTATAAAATCCTTTATAATAGTAGAATTGAGCGCCAGTCCCGGGGGGTTGCAAAGTTCGTATGTGCTTTCCATCGATTGAACCACCACAGTTTATAAATTGCCATCGATCACAAAATCCCATTGTTACAGTTTTCTATTCATCTTTCGTTGTAGGGAACTAAAATAAAATTGTTTGTAAAAATGTATTTATACTGGTGTATATTAAAATCAATTATAGTTCAATTACATATATTATTTATTTATTTGTATTTAAATAAATAAAAAAGGCGGGCAGGTGGGTGTCGCTCTGATGTACAGTAAGTTACAAGTTGGTCACTGTATTGGATTATTTTAAATTTAAATTCAATGAAATATTAACAATGTACAAGAAAAACGATTCTGAGCTAAAACAAAAAAAAATTATAAAAATCGTAAATATCTAATGGCTAACTTTCCGGCGAACATTTTCTTTTTAATAAAAAGAGAAAAACTTGTTGGGAACCTTCTATTAAAATTTCTTATCTTAGCTATAAAAAAAAAACTTTTATGAATTTCTATAACTGAAAAATAATTTACAAAATTTGAAAAAATTATCATGGATATAAATTATAAATAGCTCAAAAGAGTCGAAATTGTTCTAACATTTTACCATGTATGGAAAATGATGACATTTCATGAGTCTACGGTTATTCGTTTTGGAAATACAACAAAAAAAAAAACAGATTTTTTCAAAAATGGGTTTTCCGTAAAAATAACTACATTTTTATCACTTTTTTTTTGTTTTTCTCGACGCTTTCTAAAACTACTTGGAGTTTTAGATTTTGACCCCCCCAAAAGTACCTACTACATTTTCTTTTCTGTCAGAAAAGGTGCTAATCTCAAAAATCTGAGCATTTTTGAGATTTGACAATTCTAAATGTTGCTGACAGACAGAAAAAAAACACATCATATGGTAAAATCAATACATTCATCGCTCCGCTCAGAATCTAAAATGTATAAATTGAATTTAAATTTAAACTTTTTAAATTATCGTAAAATGAATTTATATTATTTGTTTAGGGCTGTTCAAATATACAAACTCATAATATAAACAATGATTTTAATGATGATGGTACTCAAGTTGATCCAACAGCGACCAAATTTTTTACTGCCGTTCCTCATGTCCCTACAAAAAAGAAACGAAAAGCCAATGATCTTCAAAATGAATTTTTAAAAAAATGTTCAGAAGCGTTATCTAAAGAAGATATTAACGTATATGACTCTATTGGGATAAATGTTTCTTCGAAACTGAAACGGATGGATCCGACACAATCCATATATGCAGATGCACTTATCAATAAAGTACTAACACAAGGATTATTAGGAAACTTAACACCAGAATTGGATATTTGTGCTAAGTCCACGGTCCCGGTCCCACAAAATGATGAACATTTTCCAAACTATTCGTATAACTATCTTCGACCAAACTCTTATACATTAAACTCCATAAATGTATCAAGGCCATCACCATCCATTCAAGCAGATGACATTAATGATACACCAATGGCAACATTATATCCAAGTACATACAATAATATTGATCAAAATATGCAAAATTAAAAATCTATTTACCAATACAATGTTTTTAATTACGCGCGTAACTATAATAAATAAATATATATAATTTTTTTATGCAAAGGTAACAACAATTTGTTTTATATTTCATTTAAAGTAGAAGTTTAATTTTTATGTTTTCATTTCGTAATTTTACCAAGAAGGTTTTATTTTATTTGTTTCGACCAAAAATATACTATAGCTCAGGTATATTATATTTATAATAATCTAAAAAAGGATTCATTGTTTTATTATTTATTTTATAATATAAATAATTTTTTTGACTAAATTTACACCATTTTTTTTTTAAAGGAAGTTCCTAGTAAACTATTTTATTTTGTTATTTATGGAAAATATAAAATATATATTTAATTTTTTTTGTTATACTTGGTTTTTTTTTTTGTAATTCTTTAAAACAAAAGGCACTTTACCAGCAACATCACAATATTTTTTAACAACTTATTTTTTAGATTCTGAGCGAAGCAATGAATTTACTGATACAATATGATACAATATGTATAAGGCTCCTGATATATTACAAAAATTATTATAGCAGTTAAAAAATATTTAAAATACTTATGCAAGATTTTTTTTTATAAGAATTAAAAATTAAAAACAAGGTTCTGCGTAAGTATTTCTACTGTCACCAAAAAATCAAAAATGTTGATAAACATAGGTTTTTTTTATAGTTATTTTTAGTTCAAAGTTGACAACCACTTTCCCGTTTTTTAAAACTAAACTCGTACTAATAAATGTTATAAATATAAATATATTAATAATTACCTTCAAGTAATCCATTTTTAAGGCTTCAAATATCGCTTTACACGTCTCGGGAATAATTAATGATAAGCTGGGAGCTGATATGCACGTACTAAACTTCAAGTCTTCATAAGATCTTCCAGTGGCGAGAAATCTGAGAGTTGCAATAAGTCTTTCTTCTGCACTTATTGCAGCCCTCATTACAGTATCTTGTTTTTTTAACTTTGGTCCTATATTCTATAAGCTCAAGTAAAAACTGAAAATCTTTTAAATCCATTCTAAGATAATTTTTATAGTCATCTGGATTGTTTTCTTCGAGTCCACGGAGAAGCGTGATATCACTCAATTTTTGGCGATTCAATTTCCAATCCTTAACCCATTTTGAACGTTTTTTTTTATTATCTTTTGTTAAGACATAAATAGCGGCACTTGCAATTGCAATTTTCTTTTGTTTAAATTTGTGCATTGTACAAAATGTAAATTGTAAACTGAACAAATTTAAATTAAATATAAAAGGAAACAAAAAGTTTAAGCAAGCGCGCGAAACACCACGACTACACTCTACTAAAGTTCGAAAACAACTGGAACGTGGACAAAACTGTTGATATTTCCGAAATGCCAGACGCCACGTCAATCGCGTGGGAATGTTGACATTTTTAGCCTTTAAACGGACGTTCTTTCTTGCCAATCCTTCATAAAACGAAAGAGCGTAGGATTGGCGTGTATCATATTTTTTTGGTTCGATCTTTGCGCGTCGCGCGCCAATCCGGCGGCCTAATCGCATCAAACGTCAGTTGTTGCCTTGTTGGAAATCGTATTACGAATGACAGACAATAAAAAAGTTATCTTTAATAAAATCAACTACGATACAATCATATGTAAATATCAAGATAACAAGACCAAGTATAAAACATTTTAATCATACCCTATTATTGTAAAGTTATCCTAATTTTTTTAAACTCAGTAAAGTTAAAAGTTATATGGAAACTTACAATATTGACTTATTAACACTTGCGAGTTATTATTTTTTTTAATACATAACAAACCAAAAAAATAGTTATCACTTGCAGTTAACCGATAAAGTATGAAATGGTTTCTGCTGTAAACATATATTTACAATTAGTATGATTGTTTTAAAAACGTAGCTTACTTCCGACACCAAAAAAATTGTGTACTGTACTTGTAGTGCGAGCAATTATACATTATTTAAAATAAAAATAAAAATTTAAATATAGATCAAAACAAAAGTTATTTAATTTGTCAGGTCTTTCTGCAGCTACTGCGCTCTGCATATAGTGTATCATTATAATTATTTATAGTGGTCTCTCCGTGCAGCTAGTAAATCCCCGTCGACCACTTATTTTCTGACGTGCGAAGATTTTGAACCGCTAAGCCAAAGTGGGTGGGTCAACTTCACGCACGTTATTTTCTGGTTCTGATATTTTTGAACTGTGACGGTTTTGGAATCACGTCGTGTTTGATTGTTTAAATAACTTGACGTCTTAACGTAAACAATACTCCTTTTTATTTACCTGTATAATATATAATATATACACTCTGAAGTCTGAAACATATATTACATGTTATTATTGATTGTGACTTTCAAATTCTTTTAAAAATATGGCTACGGGTATTACAATATTATTATTATTATGATTGTACCTACCTATCACATTTGCTGTCAATCGCAAAACGCCAGAAGTGCTCTTGTCTGCTGTAGTATATGGCAACGATATTATTTGGGTCAACTATAATGGATTAAAGTACATAAAATTCTGCCCCTCTTCGGAGTACACAAAACGAGATAAAAGCATAGACTAAAAAAAAAAAATTAAATTAAAATAAAAACCGTTAGCAGCTGCTATAGTGTAATTTCATAATAAATTTATGACTCGGATGATATACTGCGCAGTTAGGTATACGAAATCCTTGAACACATCATATTATTATGTACCTATACATTTCAATATTTATATAGTTTAGTTTGTTAGTCAATAATAAGGAAGTCAATCGAAAGAATATTACCTATTATCTTATCAATTTTTTTTTTAACAAGAGATGGTTTTGGAATCCATTTATTATTTCGTTTGTTTGATATTTTGATCGAGAAAATATGACGTTATTCTACGATTACTATTCAAACTAATATTATAATTTTTATACTTTTAAGATCCCTAGGCCGCAGAGATTCCCAACTTTTTTTTTGCTCACAGCACCCTTAATTATTTTCTAAGTATCTGGAGGCACCCTATACTCTATATTATGCAATACTCAATACTAATATATCGTTTATTTCTATTATACGATTTTGTAACCTAGGTTTTCTTGAGCTGAGTGCCTAAGTATAGACGAAAGTACTAGGAGTACCTCACTGTATAACCTACACATATTATATTTTAAAAAACAAATTATTACATTGGATATTAACTAAATACTTTTATTTTTAATTATTAAATAATATTATTAATACTCAATACTTTATAACAGTCCACATCGAAGCGATAGCAATCAAACCGGTACCTATGAAAATTAAAATAGATCGAACATCGCAGTATTACTTATAAGTTATAACAACAGGTTACTATTAGTAACACTGTTACTAATAACATACACACATAATAACATAATACTTGTCCATAGGTGTACTCCGGGTAGGGGGGGGGGATGTTTTGGGCGTTGACTATAGTTCTACAATTATATTTTGATATTACCTGTTAAAATAAATATAATTGCTTACTATACAATGGAAAGTGTGTAAACCCCCCACGATTTATATTTAATTAAAAATATTAAATCACCCTCCCTTAAAAGATCATGGCTACCCACCTTCAAGTCTAGACTAAGCTAAATGTGAACAACAACTATCGTAAGTTTTTGTTTATAGAGATGTCGAAAGAAAGAAAGTCGGAATCAAAACTTACAGAGGACCAGCGTTTAAAAATCATATTATATTATTCTATAATATATATTAATATTATTATTTATTAAATTATTATTATTTCATTGCAATTTTTTTGTTTTACCTAAAGTAATATGACAAACTTATTTGTTCTTTAACTTTCATTTTATGGGTTCAATCAGTTTTAATTATACATGTTGTGAAAAACGATAACACAAACTTTAAATTATCGTGTAAAACAAACTTTTACTTTGATAAGCTAATTTGACATGAATAGTTACCTAATGGCTAGTATACCTACTTAATATGATACGGTGTATTACTACCAGAATTTGTTTAATTTCAAACTGTTATGGTTGAATATAATTTCAAAAAATATACTGAAATGTTAACATTCTTAAAATATTTTTCTATTTTATTTTGTGTGTAATTCATAATTACTAAATTACGTAATCAGTCACATATCCATTAATTATTTTTAAAATTTATAACCGAATACTTATTCAGAAAATCTATTAACATTTTTTGTACTTTATTGGTAACACTTTCTTCATATTTAGACCAATTTTTTATTGACTCGATTTTAACCGCATAAAATAATAATTTATCAGTTTTCTAATCATATTATGTGTACCTATATTGATCTTGAATCAGGAACAACCGGTTCAAAAAGATACTGGTTATCTAGTTTTATGTTGCTAATATATTCACATGATATATAATATATAGTACGCCAATACGTATGTACATTGTACCTATGTATGTATATGTTTTGAAAGTGATCTATATTGATAGATTAATATATTATTGGATAGGAAGTTGTTGTTATAGAGCTATACAGTTTATATGGTGACCGGAAATGACGACAAGTCGGTATACTGACCTACGAAGTGAAAAGTTTTTAATATTTGTGAAAAGAAACGAATGACGTACGTTGTGTTGCCTAACATATATATCCTTAAGCCTAAAACACCATAGTATTATATATTAGGTACCTATAATAGGAGGATAGGTATAGTAGTTTATCCTTTTTAAATTGTTTGCAATTTATTGAATATATATTGCCATTATATATGTTATTCTATATTTTTTTTTTGTTATTTGATATCGTTATAGTATTATATAAAGAATATCAATAGTTGATGCTATTAGAGTTTTTTTTAAAATAAATTTCTTTACTGAAACGTTTAGCCTTTATCATAACAATAAATTTACATTTTGAAGTTGAAAAAAAAACTGAAATAATGTTTAAAAGCAGACACTTGTTAGTTATTATTGAACGTTGAAAAAAACAACATAAAAACGCCAATATTATTAGAACAATAATAAAAACATGATAAAATACTGTCTAAATTAAAATAATTAGTAATTGCTTACTTTTAGAAACAGTCTATAGCAACTGCAGATAGGTATGTGTAATCGGTTTTCTCGTGTTTTAGACTTTGAGCGAAACTTTAAATAATAATGTTCTTTTCTATGAAACTCTGTTCGAATACCATAGGGAGGTGTTCTCAAAAATCACGAAAATTGACCTGCGATATTTTTATGTTTGACGTGGATGTATGAGTGTTATGATCAATGTGTGCCTTCGGGATCGTGTTCGGGTCGGCGGTCGCTGGTAAATCTTCGAGATCTCGACCGAACGTGGTCTACTGCAGTAGCCCTAGAAACATAATATTATGAATATTACGAGTCATAATTGATAATCGAACCCTTCTTAATATAAGTATTAGGTGCATTTCGCGAACTGCGAAAGGCCGCCGAATGTGTTGTACAATAATTATTAACAATATATATATATATATTCGGCGGCCACACGTCATTCAATAACAATAATAACCTATTATTATTATTATTATTATTGACATTCAGCAAATAATGCGTCGTCGTCGTTTCGGCGCTGCACAAGTGCGAAACGGTACCGGTCGACCTAGATTTCGGGCCGACTCGAACTTTTTAAAGAAGAGTGGCGCGAAATTCATATACGTCGCCAGCGGAGACGACAAGACGGCGCGCGTTAGAGCTCGACCCACTTAACTTCAATACAAGTATAAACATATATATATTATATGTTGCTATAAATTTGCGGGCCATCGACAAGCTTGATACGTCGTGCATATACGCATACGTAGAGGTGCGTTCGTAAGACATCGTATTTTATTATCTCCATCATGCGCCCGAGCAGACGCACTCCGCACACATGTGCGCACGTACCTATAATAATATATAAGTCATAATATTATCATTATATATTTTATATTTAATAAGAGATTCTGATTGACATTGCGAAACTGTTAGATCTCGTATTTATTATTATTATTATTATTATTATTATATTATTATTATTATCGTATATCGTTATTATTATTATTATTATTATTATTATTATTATTATTGTTATGCCGAGAGATCATTCACCTTGACCAGAGAGGCGGTGCCCTGATGTTATATATGTGCGCACACACACACACACACACACACACACACACACACATCATCATCATTCGCATACATCGTACAGGTGTACCTTCGTACATGAGATATGTCTATAGATAGGTACCTCTAAAACGGCTATCTGTCGTGTAACATGCGCTCGCACGCAAGACGGGTCTGCAAAAAATCGAATTCGCGCAATCACGTTAAAACGCAATTAGTATACATTTACCTAATATCTGTACCTTCGACAACTGCGAGTGTATTCATATTTAATATATTATATTATATGAAACATACGCCTTCGATGTCTGCAAATATATATTTATACACGTATTATAAATGTTACTGTCGTTTTTTTTTCGCTAGCGGTTTTCACACGGGTAATAATATACACACATTTGTATTTTTTCTTCTCGCTAGTAACAATATTATTATATTTATGCGGGCACCTATAATGCGTATTCATTATATTATATAGGTACAGATGAGATAGTTATAAACATCACTGGTTTGGATTTCGGCTTCTGTTCGCGCTCGGTACGTACCTATTAATTAATGTATTATAATTAACGCGCCGTCTATACATAATAATATAATATAATATTATTTTAAGTAACACTACGGTCGGTTCGCCTATTATAACCACTGTTATAATATTATATGTTTAACTTTTTTTTTTAATAGCCCTAAAAAATGTTATAGCGATCGGTTTTGCAGATAAAATACAGAGTGTAAGTAACTGCACAGTTTTTTTTTTAAATGATCACCCAACAATCTGTACGAGAATCAGATTTCGAAGAAAAAAACGAGTCAGTAAAAGTAGCTATTTGCATCGACCGGTACAAAGCAGAGTTCTGGCCCTGTGGCTGCGTCGTCGTCGCCAATAACGGATTTGATATGGAAAAAAGTCCGCCAGCAAACATTCCACAAAATGCGAAAGGGTCTCGTAAAAAAATTATTATCCGGGTAGGGCAAAATTTCCGTTTTTTTAAAAAATACTTATAATTACACATCAAAATATCAATTTAAGGAAACCATATGCACAGACAAATACTACGAAAAAATGTGTAAAAAGTACTTGGTTCTGAAGCATTATTTCCTTCCTTTCTGTTATTGTTGTAAATCATCTGTAATTTGTAATATTCTCAATCGTACACATGTATACAAATAAATATATATTGTCTGTACTGTAAATAAGCGAGTTCGTGTTTGGCGTGTTCCTGGTTACTAGTTATAACATAAGTCAACACACATTTTGTGCCACATCATTTCTGGAATTGTTAGATCTAATAATTTACTGTTCTGCATTTAGTATGGTTAAAAAAAATTGTAATGCACCTGAGTTCCCGGGCTAGGGATCAGCCCACAAAACAATGTCTACATACCTGTTAATAAACCCGCTAATGATCGTCGCACCCGTTTTGTTTACAATAATATTTTCAACCATCAAATAATTTGCCATAGTCATCGCTCGTCGAGTGCAACAGAACAATAACAAGACATATTATGCAGATTTTATTCGACGAATTAGCGCTGATATATTATTATTATAATATTATATTATCTTTAATCTACTGTAACTTTTACTTTTTGTGTTTCCATATTAACTGCATAAATTTAACGTTTAAATCGTCGAACTGTTATAGGCACTATACCACTATACCAGAAGATCTAAAAAGAAAAATATTATATTATATCGTCATGGGCGAGCGATTACAACCGACGAGAAATATATATTTATATTTCCGTTCTTCGTCGCCCATAATATTATATACAGGTAACTATAATAAACCTAGTAGGTACTTCTATTTGTCTAATCACTGTATTGATACAATAATATTACACACAGCACGAGTGACAATCGTCTCGCGATGATTAATTATCATTTGTGTTTACATAGGTACGAGAAAAAAACGCCGAAAGCGTCCCGTGCGTGGTTTTCAAGTGCAGGTCCGACGACGCCCAAAGGGAAAAATTAATTTACGACCATATATGCCCGTTATAAGCGGTGTGCCTATACCAATGCGGGGTATTTCATTAGACGTTCAAGGATTTCGATTGAACTACTTAATACGCAATATTTGACAAAATGCCAGTAAATTAGTTTGCTGCGTACCTATCCGTCGACCTTGACCGTCATTCGAGGAAACGACGTTTTACATGCAAATTTAACGCCTCGTTTTCAATAATTCGACCCTGCGTGTGTGTGTGTGTGTGTCGTTCTAATGGGATCGGGAGTCAGATCCGCGAGTGACCTTGACAAATCCCGATGAGTGAAAAATTCGTCCTCGAGTCGTCAACCGTTTCGTGAGTACGCAGAAAAACATGATATTATGTATTATTTCTTAGGAGTAAAAAAATGAAGGTATACCTACCTATACACTTCCGACGCATATACCTACATCGCCAGTGTATGATATTGCCCTTAAAAGCGTCCTCGTACACCTTAGATATAAGGTTGTTCTCAAGTCTCGATCGGTGATGTTTACGTTCGGGCTCGCATTCGCTGAACGTTACACATTATAATGTTATTATTATTTGTTATTGATTAATGAACTGATATCGATATCATTGTAAACAAACATGCACCATATTGTACACGCGTCACACAAACCATATCATATCACAATGTAAACTTTCAGTCCTTCTCAAAGTTGGCGATAACGCCCCTAACCCTTCCCCGGGAGCGTCGGTAGCCTTCGGGCGGAGAGGGGGGAGTGGTATAAGGCCCGAAGAAATTTGGGGGCCGATGAAGCGGAACTAGAGGGGCGATAGAGCTGATTTCAAAAATCGAAAAATTAAGTACTCCTTACTCTTCATTCGTCCTCACAGTGGGTGGTGAATGAAATAAGTTTGAGAACCTGTGACCTAAAGGGACAATTTTAAACGATAGTTATCACCAATATTGAATGAATTGTGAAAAACAAGACGATTCATTTTCATATACATTATAATATTATATAAACGTAGCCACTTAGGCATAATACCAAACTAAATATATAAACAAATCAATCGACTTAGTGACGTAGTACATAATATAAATCTGTATAATATATGATATGATACATTTTAATATTATAAGATTTATAATACAAGTTATCATTTGACAATTTCGTAGTAATTTTTGTAAAAAAAATGTTTAGTTAATAATCTATTATAAGATCGATAAAAAAAAACAATATAATAATACAATTTATGTATTTTTAGGAACCTCAACATTTTCACTGAAATTAGGAAAAACCCAAAAATGAATTAAAGATTGTTAAAATGTAATGATAGTTTTTTTTAAGGTTGAGATAGGCGTAACTATGCCTTAGCTAGTTCCAGTGAGCATGACTTTTAGAATTTGAATAACGTTATAAATAGTACATATTTTGTTTTGTAGTTTTATTCATTTGAAAATAAAATAAACAACAATATGAATAGAAATAAAAAAAAATTTAATTTGTAAAGGAAAAAAATACAATTGAAATAATTTTAATAAAGAACTTTAATTGAAACACAAACTGCGAACTGTATGAAGTTAATTTATCATTATTTGCTTTGGAAACGTATCTAATTAAGTTTAAATTCAACAATGCATAAGTGTATTGTGATGTAGGTACCTATCTACAATCTACATGTATAATATAATTTATTGGGTGTGATTAAACATGTACTTAGTGAATTTAATTTTTAACTAGTCAAATCCATTGTAATTTATAATGTGCTGTCGTTTTTCTATCACTACACAGTACACACACTTAAGCAATATTAATTTAATTCAAAGAGTTGTTAAACCAAAATGCATGATTCAAAATAGAAGGAGCAATACGTCTTAAGGAGAAGGAAAAATAGTAGATGATGCAAGATTTGTACAAGATTGGCACCCCGAGGAGTACCGAATTCAGAGGTAATAATGTAAAAAGTGCCTCCATGCACTTCTCCATAGTTTGAGATCATTTAAATAGGACGAGAACAAAAAAAGAATTGGTTCCCCAAAATCAGAGTCTAATAAAACATTAGTTGGAAAACTTGGTGGACTTCGTCGGAACCCATAGAAAAAATCGATGACTAAAGTCTACAACTGGACATTGTTCACTCAATGATATATTTGCACGTAATAAACTCTTTAAAAAAAAAGAAAATGTGTTTGGATCAATATTGAAGGAAGAATGTGTATAGACTTTAAAGTGGTACTATAAAAAATAGAAATCGCTAGATGAATATGGATCAAATTTTATAGGAGGGTCAATCAGTGTGTGTATTGGGAACAAATTAAACAAGGGATGCAAAGTGAAAAAAATGAACGTGCTTATCAGAATATGTACGTGTCATATTGATTAGGATATAATTATATAAGGAGTATGCATAAATATTATATTATTATTTAAAGATAATAGAGACTCCCCCCCCCCCCTAACGCATTCCTCCTCAATTCAAGCATTGTGGTCAATTTAATAATGGACATTAACAGAAATTATATCTACCTATAGGTACGTAAAAATTAAATTAAGAAGCGAGAGACATGTGAATTTGAGATGAAGTCTTTTTATTGTTGTACGAAGTATACAGAAATTCAAATTCTCATGTTTAGAAATACAATTTCAGTGGATCATTTGATAATAATATAATTCAACTGCAGACACCGATATCTATTATAATTTATTGTAATTAAAATTTAAAAGTCAAAAGGAAATCGTAATAATATATTACGATATATCATTGTATTTATATATTATGATTTATCATACCTACATATACCTACCTGTTTAGTATTTATATGTGGCTAAAGTTTTGACGTTAAACGTAGCTTATAAAATATACCCATTACAATTCAGGGATAATATTCATAATATTATATGCATGTATCATATATTTACATAAAATATGCCGGACACATGTGAGTTCAAAGTCGACAGTCATGTTCATATTATATTTATCAAGCTATAACTTATAAGTTAAGATTGTGGTCTTGCTTAAACAGTTTTTTTTATGATATATCTACACGCAGTTTAATTAAATCACATGATTTAAATAAAATCCAATGCACGCAATTCTATACAATTTTTAACACTGTCGCAGAGGGGAGAAACATTGATCAGAATTATCTCTTCCGGCTTTTCGTTACGTGTGTAAATATATATGTATGTATGTGTGTATGTATGTTTGTATGTATGTATGTATGTATGTATGTATGTATGTATGTATGTATGTATGTATGTATGTATGTATGTATGTATGTATGTATGTATGTATATATGTATGTATGTATGTATGTATGTATGTATGTATGTATGTTTGTATGTACGCATATATGTATATATACGTAATTATAATCTGTGTATTTAATTCCTACGTTTCAACACCTATTTAGGTATTCTTACACTTATTTGGCAAAAAATAATAACTTTAGACATCTCATATCTAAACTCCACGGAGGCATAAAACAGCATCCATCTTTTCCAAGTCGTATTTTTTTGTTTTGAATAAACATGTTTTCGTCTTAGATTTGTATCTTTACAAACAAATCTGATTCTTCCTATTTTTTTGCCATCGTATTGTTGCCGAATCCATTATACCAAGCAAAATTTTTAAAAAATTAATTCACATTTATATATATTTATATATATTATATAAAGCCGGAATCGGGAATAGTCAATTCTGCACTAAATAAATTCGAAAAATTGATTATTAATTTAGGTTACTTTCTTAAACTTGTTTTTTTTTTGCAGTTAATAATTTAATTTCGTTACATTATTATAATAATAATCAGCGTAGTGTATATAATCACAATATAATGAATAGAATGCCTTCAAGCTGCATATAGGTTTTTAATTTCATTTAGAAAGTCAACAAGCATATACATCAAGCAAACACTGCAAAATGTTTGCAAAATATGTGTTAACTCTATTATACATAGTATATAGATATAGGACCGAACTATACAGCTGAAAATACGACGTGCGAATTTCGAGAATATACCTATACCTAACAAATTTCGATTTTGATAAGCTCATATTCCGTATAATATAATACATCTCAAAGGCTATAATCGCACGTAAACAGTTTCCACTTAGCATACTGACTGACCATTGGCATTATATGTACTAGATACCTACACGTGTTATGTATTTACGCATAGTCACAGATTCAAAGCTGATAACTTTTAAATTAACATATTGAAACGACAAAAACATCAGGTAGGTACCTACTTGCAGTTCCTATATACTTATCTGTAGGCATTGCGTAATAATAATAATATATAGGTAGTGTTTATTATTTTTATAAGATTCACATGTTATAATTATCTAGTTTTTAGAGAGTATTTATTGTTTTCCGCGTTTGATATAATCGATTTGTTTTTTTATTATTACTAAGCACCGCCACAATGTGTTTCCTCGATTTCTTGGAGGGTCAGTGGACGGAGTGGGGTCGTATCTGCTATACTTCAAACTTTTTGGACTCAACCTGTACGGCTGTCGGTACCTAGCGCTTATTAATTATTGTTAGTTTTCCTTGTATACCTAGTCGAAAGCAACACAATACAAACCACAAATTAGGTATTTGAATTTAAGAGCATATTAGATGTCAAATTGTATTCAATTATAATTTATAGCATAATATAAAACAATTAAGTCGATATATTAATAGCAGATAAACATGTTTATTTATACCAAGGCAATCTGTACCATACTTTAAAAAAAAAATATGTGAAGTAAATTAGACGACCTAATAGAATATTACTATTGTCAATTATTATAAATAATGTGTTTGAAGACTGTTGGAAAATAAAATATTAAGTATATATGGTACAGTAAAACGACCCCTGACGGACACTTCTGAACGGTAAACGATTTTTTGGGAACAAACTACTGGACTTCCTACACATCGGACCGGCAGATGTATATCAGATGTATGTCCGAATAGCGGACATAGTATTAGCGACAGAGAGTGTCCAACATTTTGAGATTTAATTAATTGATAAGTGAATTCACTGTATTAGTGGGTACACACTTCATAATTTCGATACCTAATTAGTTATTTATTTTTGTCCACATATCAATATCATACACATGGCCTAGCGTTAAAGTCTATTCGGTTTTGTATATAGGTATTGCATAGCTTATAATGAACAACTATTTGTAGGTATATATTATATAATAAAATATATGGTGACTTGGTGAAGCGCTGCTCAAGACCCTCAGAGTCTCCTTAACGACGTTAACGCTGCTAGCTCACGGATGGGTGACCACCCGGGTTTTTAGCAACACATCCTTGCTACACATACACGAACACGTGTTACATCCTATCAACATAAGACCTACTAAATCTATGCATAAAAATCTCGACCGTACCGCCCCTACACCCAATGGCCTATGTTGCAGAGGAATAAAAAAATAATAACAAATAAACATGTGTGATAAATATCTGAATTTAAATCTTTTTTTAAAATATAATTCATATCAATTTTTTCTCTGTAAAAAGTTTAAATAAATGAATATAATTTTTTTTTGTTAATCAATTTGTACATAATCACAACCCTATCTTATACCTATCCTATGTACAATATTGTGCAATTTTTTATTTATTTAAAAACACATTTCAAACTTCCAAGTATAGGCAAGTACTGGTAGTACATACACTAGTGCCTATATACAATTTTAATTATTTCTTCTTTCAAACGCTGCAATATTGATTTATGTCTGTACAGTAATTAACAAATTATTCTGAATCGTATTTCTCGGATCGTAATAATGGGCA